CAAATTGTTACATTATTTTTATTTTGTCCTCCAGCATTATCACAAGTAATCTTTAAATACTTTTCACCTTTATTCAATTTCTTAATTCCATCAAAGATCATACTAAGGGTGCCATTTGGTCCTTTTCCTATAGTTTCATTTTCATTAAGAACATAATTAATTTGCACCCTTACTGCCTCATCTTGAATACCAAACAAATGGACTTTACATGGACTAAGGTAATATATTTTACTTACTTGTTGATCTGAATAGGGCACATGAACATTTTGAGCTCAATCATAACTATAATGAGCAGTAGCATCAATACTGCAATATTTTGTTTTACCCTTTGAATAATTTGATTAACTAATTTTCTTTGTTCTTCAGCTAATTTAGTATTTTTATTGTAATAATTTCTTTCTAATTTGGCCTTGGACAGATGTTCTTTAAATCTTTTAAGTAAATCTTTAGCTTCTTCCTCTTGGCGAGCATTATAATGTAAACCATTTCAAAAATGTTGACAAGTATCACATAGATCAGTCCTGGGACTCATAATTTGAATTTCTGGTGTCAATTGATGTCATAACTTCCTGAAGGCATCATATTTTAAGGATTTCAAATTATTATCTTCTTCTAGACCAGCTAGAAAATTTCTATGTACTGATTTATAACTCATTTCAGCTGGTAAAAAGACAATTGACTGAATTATCTATTGTTACTTCTTCCTGGACTTGGTAATCCAATGGTGGAATTTGGATCAACTTATAAAACAGGTAAATTTTTTTAAGTGTCTAATTTAGTATATACATAATGATTAAAAAATTTTATATTATAGATTGTGGAACATGCAATACCAATCTTTGAGAAAACCCATCCTGGAGCCATTGCAGTATTTGCCTTTGACAATTCATCTGCCCATGCTTCACCTGCAAAAGATGCTCTTGATGTAAATAATATGAATTTAAGTGATGGAGGTAAGCAACCACTTAAAAGAAGCACTTTATTTAATGGACAAGTTCAAAATTTAGTGGATTCAAATGGCCATGCAAAGGGAATTAGAACTATTTTAATGGAACGTGGTTTGTGGCAACCACATCTGCGGCTTTCCTGTGGTAAAAAAGGAAATATAGATGAAAACCCTTCCTGTTGTGCAAGACATATTCTTGGTGCTCAAGAAGATTTTTGCCAACCAAAAAAACCTTATTTGCAGGAAGTAATTGAAAATTTAGGTCATAAAGCCATTTTTTATCCCAAATTTCATCCTGAGCTAAATTTTATTGAGATGTGCTGGGGATCAGCAAAGAGATATGCCCGAAATAATTGTGAGTATACCTGGAGTAGCTTACAAAGGAATGTTCCTATTGCTTTAGATTCTGTTAGTTTAGTTGAAATGAGAAGATATGCACGAAGAACAAAAAGATTTATGGAATGCTATAGAAGAGGTTTAGATGGAATCCAAGCAGAATTTGCAATGAAACAATACAAGTCACATCGTTCTGTTCTAGAGACAGTATATAGAGATGTGGATAGACAATTTGAGAGTTAAAATTTTTTCCTGATGTATATATTAATATAAAAAAAATAAATTTTGTTTATTGCTTATTTTGGAAAGATCATCAAAATTTTAAAATTGAAACAATTGGATGTGTACTTGTGACCGGCACTGTAGAAAGTAGAAAATTTTTAATTACGGCACTCACTATTAAAAACATAAGTGTAACACCCCTTTATGACAGTGTCAAAATACTTTGGGCTGCATGTATAGTGATGACCTCATTTCACCAATTTTTAATTTTTTATCCTACAATGTTGATGAAAGGGTTGTCAAGATAAGGTATTTATTATTTCTATAATTATATTTATTATTTCTATTAATACTTACTATAGAAAAAATTTTTTAAATATAAAAAATTATATAAAATAATGTTATTTTTATTTAGAAATGGGGGATTATCAGAAGCTACCAGAAATTGAAATGACAAAAATGGTCCAATAAAATACCCTGATTATTCTTGGCATCTTCTTGAATCAAATTCAAACTTTCAGTTTGAGTTCCTTTTTTCAGAGGTCTCCTATGGCCCAAGGTCACAAGGTACTCAAACAACAGAGCATATAAAAAGTGATAGACTTGGGTTAGGAAAACTTGCAAAAGAATCCTGAATCACATGTTAAAGCATTTACAAAGAAACACAGATAATTTAAAGTGTTTAGATTTGTTAAATGAAGTTAAAATCTTAGCAATTCATATCTATAGTAAGTAATCAAATAATTTTAATTATGTTTAAAATTAAAATTATATTGCTGACTTTTTTCTATAATTGAAGCAACAAAAATGGAATTTTACATTGTAGACTGTTCACACAGGCTATTTTCTACAATGAAAAAACTAACAGAAATTAGTCTTCCTACCATTAAAGATAATCCACAAGAAATAGTTGAATTGATCAAAAGTCTAATAGCTATTTATAAGATAATTAAAGAAAGTATTAAAAAAATAGCAGAAATAATTGACATCATAACTGATCTATCTAATAGAAAGCCAAGTACACCTTTACAAAGTGAAATCAATAACCTACTATCAATGACATTTGCAACTCTAGATATTTGAGCATGTGTAGGCTGAACATTTTAATGATGATAATATGGATGACAAAGAAGATATTATTGATAGTCAAGAAATAAATATATAAACAAAAACAACTATTTAAAAAATAATTAATAATTAGTTTATTTCAATAATAATAATAATTTTTCTTTTTGCTTATGAATTTTAGTTTATTTTTAATAATTCTCCTTTACTCTGTTATTTTGCATTACTTTACACACACACACACACACACACACATAGATATAATATTAAACATGCTATTTTATAATTCGAATATATGAATTTTTATTTTAAAGTGTTGGAATTTCGTTGTGTAACTAGTACAGATTTAGAAACTATCTCCAGAAATTCAAAATTTGATTGGATAATAATAATAATATTACATCCGACAAACTGAATTTTTATCACTGTTGGGGTGTCATACTTACTAAATTTTAATCCCTGTAATAAAAATGTTCACCCCATATTATTTTGGTATTAATTCAAACTTCAATTGTTATAATTCTGGTGATTTTGCTGGGATTCTATCAGTGTCTTAAGATTCATTGAATGTTTATAGTTTTTTTTTTTGCACAAAGAGAAATTTTAACTAAACTAATTAATATAGTGAAAAATTGATCAGTTTTTAAATAAAAAAATTTTTTAATGTCATATCTATTTTTGGGTAAAATTATTATCAAAGTTAAAGGTTATTACCGATTTGGGTAAACCTAATACAAAAAGTGTTGGGTAAACTCTAGTAAATTTTGAAAATTTTAGGGTAACCTATCTATATATGTAGTTTCCGGGGTCCTAATTAGAAAGTTTTTTTTTTGAGTTATTTAGTAAAAAAAAAGTTACAAGGGTTTTAAAGTTGAGTAATATTAGTAATCTGAAATCATCTAAACCGTCATTTATAGAGTTGGCGCGAACCCTATAATTATATAAATAATAATTCTAGGATGTCTTTCGTCATATGTACAAACCCCAATGTAAAAAAAGTACATAAATGCCTTTTTTGGATTAGGCGTGCGGGGATTATCTATCTATTACTATGTATAGTGATTATTTTTACTTTACATATATTGGGGTTTGTACATTGGTTCCTTGGAGAGTCATGACCAAAGCATCAATTTAACCAATTAAAAAAAAACTACTGTTTATTTATTATTTTTTCTATTTATTTTTTACCTTATTATTATTACCATACAAGCAAGTTATGCATTTTTATTTGCATTATCGTTATTTGTTTGAGTTGCGTTTTATTTTGTGTTCGTTGATATTGTAAAAACATTGAAAATCGAATTCTGAGTTAATTAAATTTTAGATTAAGAATTAATGTATAATTATTCAAGCTTTGTGCATCGTTAATTCAATAATTAATCAAATAAAAATCCTAGAACTTTGTGATATTTGTTTTTGTCTATAATTAGCGCATGCAATATGAGCAAAACTCTTGTATATGGTTGTTAATTTATTCGGCAAGTTTCCAAGCAATATTATTAACAATATTATTTTGGGGATCATGCATGATATTCTAAAAATTCTAACATGATCAAACTTTATTTTTATCAATTCAAGTATTTATTAATAATAAAATCTAGAATTGTTAAAATTGTTAAGTAGATCAGGAGAAAATTAGACCACTAATACCAATATTAAACAACCAATTGATCAAAGACTTTAATTTCTTCTTGAACATAAACCAATGACAACATTAATTATAATATCACGTCATTAATCATCATAACACCAATCTTTATTTTAATTAATTAAAAAAGGATACCATGTATTTAATATCTAAATAAACAAATAAACAATTGCGAGGGTGTTACCAACACTGTTATTAAAAAAAAATTTTTCTAATGTTTTTTTTTTTAATTGAGACTTTTTATTTATTCAACAACGTTTCTCGCTTTGGTCATAGGCTTAGTTTTAATGAATTTTACGTAATAGTCTTACAACCCTGAGAACGTTTCGTCAAATAACATTAACCGTAGTAGTAAAAGGCTGGATCTTGTATTAAATTCGAACTTAAGAATGAGGATTAAAGAGTATGCGTGTGTGCGCAATCTTGAGTCATCTATAACGCAAGTATTTCTTCTATCATTTTTCTTAATACTATAATATTGTGCCAAGGAATTTCTTAAAGAAAATTAAATCAGTATCATTATTGTGATTAAAATTGGCGTACGATTTGAAACTCTGAGTTGCAGAATCTTATATTATAAATTCTGAAATAGGTTGTTACAACATCTTGGTTGTTGATATCAACTTTGATTGTAATCATCATTGTAAATGTTTGTCGAAATTGCACAACAGCAAAATGGCTGGTTGAAGATCGACGTTATTGTAAAAAAACAATAGAAAAAAAAATGACGGAAAAGTTTTTTTTTATATTAATGTATATAATGTTTTGTAATTTTGTATTTTGTACAATTTTTTTCTAAACAAATAAAGAGTTAATTAATGAGTCACGAACTGGTAAATAAATATCTCCCTGAAGAGCAAATAAATAAATAAATAAAAATGCAGGAATATAGTCAGTCACCAGTTAAATGCAAAGGATTCATCAATAAATGATTTTGTTGCATTTTTTTTTATATTGATTTATATTATTATTTTAATTATAGTTATTTTACAAAAAAAACTAAATTTTTTGGAAATAATAACGATAACTACAATAAAAATAATTATTTTCATAAATGTCCTTAATAAACTGTTCTACTAATATATCAAATTCATTTTGTTCATTTAAATTTAAAACTCTAATTAATAATGGTTTTAAAGAATTCATAAATTGTACAATATCTTGCAATAGTAATTCTGAAAGACTATTATTGGGCGAAGTTGACGTTGATGATGTAGTAGTTATTTGACTTTTTTCATCTCCATCTCCATCGCCATCTCCATATTTGTAACTATCAGTATCATCATCCTCCAAAATACAGTTATCGTTATTATGATCACCTATTAGGACTATCCTCTCTTGATACGATAAATTTTTTATTGATTTACAATTATTTAAACGATTCTCTAGCAGTATTGATAGTAAATCTTTTAATTTGGGATTAATATTATTTGATATTAAAGTTGATTCAAATGCCTTTATCACAGTTATAAATTTATTTTCATTGTTTTGATTTAGATTAAGATTAAGGTTTGGATGTAGTATCTCGTCATTTTGATATTGATGTTCACATTGAATTTCTTCCCGCCTCTCCCCTTCCACATTATAAATAACCTCCCCGTCCATCAATTCAACCCAACCATTTCTCTTTATAACCCTCATCAATTCCGGTATCACTTTATTCTTCCATTCATCTTCAGTGAAAGCAGTCATTAAAAATCTTACATGGATATAATCGAAATTTTCATCATGGAATGGTAGTCCGTCTAATAAATTACAAGTTAGAAACGTTAAATTATTTGGTTTGATTTCGCTTGGAAATATTGGCGAAATGTCAATTCCGACAAATGTTGATTTTGGGTAGTCGATAGACATGTTTAGCACCCAGGCTCCAGGGCCGCAGCTGCAAATAACCATAATATTAATTTTTGTTTTTTATCTTTGCCGTAATATATATATATATATATATATATAATAAAGATTAATAAATACCCAATATCTAATGCATTAACACCACCTTCCTCAAATAAATGATTCATTGGAGAGGAAAAGTTTCCTTCCCATATGTGACGAAATAAAAAATGTTGAGTTTGTAATCTGTCGACTATATTTATAATTTTACAATATTAATTATTATTTAACCAAATAAATTAACCAATTAACCAAATGTAATATTACCTTCTTCGTCGTCATTTGGAAGAAAATACTTGGAATTTTTGTCGTTGTGATATCTTCTTCCATTAATATAACGAAACCGAGATTTCCTTGCGTCTCTTGAACGAACGTTTCCCATTTTTATGATTTTTATTGATTATTTTGAAGATTTTAAGAAAATATTTTTATATTTTTGAAAGAAAAATTTTAAAATGTCAATATTTATTCTGTTTTGTCAAATCATCAATAAACGGTTTTTATAATATTTTTTAGAATACAATACAAACAATTTTCTTTTCTGTTTGTTTTTATTAAAAATAATTAAGTACTAATGGAGTTGATTTAATTATGCTTTATTGTTTATTGTTTATTATTTACATGTGAATTGAATTAAACATATTCAACTCAAGATCTAGACTCAAATCTTATTATTATATAGTAGTAATACATAAATTCAATATTAATATTAAACATACTAATTAAACAATCAACAAAACACTTCCTTTATATGGGGAGAGCATTCCTGAACCAATACACTGTTGATTACCAAACTATTTTCTGTATATAATAAGCGATTGACTGTGGTAAAATAAATCAACGCAAAGTTAGATTTCTCTTTTGCTATATTAAAGTTTTTTTATTTTATTTCTGCTTAAATGAATATTATAAGATTGCTCCTATATAAAAATATAAATGTAAACTTAGTTTATGTAATAGAACTATCACAAGTTTTTTTTAAAAAAGGAGCAAAGTGGCAAAATAATATCTTGTATAATTAATTATATAGAATGTTGCCAATCAAGTCTGCCAAAAAGAAAGAAAAACAATAAACACTGGGGAAAAAGAAGCAGTACGAAAATGAGCAATCATTATAGTTGGCTTCGTAGGAAAAAAAAGCTCAATCCCCGAAGTTACGCAAATATGCGCAATAGTAACCGCAATTGGCTCCGTTTATTAACGGTAACAGGATAACAGGCAAAAAAAAACGTATTAACATTACAGTTTTAACTGCATCATGGAGGGTTATCGTTACACGGCAGAAAAGGTCAAAAATTTTCATAATCCCCAACTACCAAACAAACTTCAAGAAAATTTTGGTTTCGCATTTGTAATCTATATATATATATATATATATATATATATATTTGAATTACAAATAGCTGACTACGCTTACAAATTACGATTGTTATTATTATTATTATGTTAATAAACATTTACGGATTTACGGATTTACAGTTTTTGCGAATAATAATAGTAATAGTAGTAGATTTTATTCAAAAATTCCGATAAAATTTCAGAACTCTTGTGTAATCGCTAAAAAAAAGTTGAAAAAAGGGTCTCTGTGACACAATTCCCTAAAAAAGAACGTAGAACATCAATGTCCCGAAATATTACTTTAAGAAACCGGGCTTTCCGGTTTTATGTTATTTTATTATTATTATTATTATTATTATTGATAAATCCAGATTCAAACTGGTTTTATTTTATGGTACATGGAATCATTCCTGCACGTAATTTTTAAAAAGAATATGAAACAATACATAGATATGTCACACATAGAATTGTGTAATAAAATTTTGTTTTATTAAAATAAAGTTTTAAATTTGCTAATGAAACAATAATTCGTGTGCAATGTTAAACGACCAATTCCACGAAACTAATTCACAAATAAAATATAAACAAAAAATCGAACTATTTTTTTTTGTAAATCACAGATGGTATGTTTTACATTGTATCCCAAAACATTGTACAAATCTTTAAACATTAAATTGATAGGTGTTTTAATCTGCATATGAATGATTAAAGAAAATAATCGACCATGTTTAAGTTGTTATGTCGTATCATTTTGTAAAAACAATAGAAAAAAAATGTCAAAACCCACAAAGTTTAATATATCTATGTCGATCATATTATTATTATTATTATTATTATTATTATTATTATTATTATTATTATTATTTATTATGTATGACATAAAATGTATTTGTTCATCTATGGTCTATGGGCGTTTTTATATAGTTTTTTTATTTGTTAGAAATTATCATAGCCCAGTCTATATGTGTCTATATAAAAAATTCCTCGCCAAATGGAAATTGAATTCATTTTCGTAAATCACGTAAAGCATATTGATTGAAAAAGAAAAAGAAAAATTCTAATGTTCATTGTTGAAACCAGAGGATTAAAGTTACGAAAAGATCAGATAAAATTTAGAAAATTTTTATGATTGGCAAAAAAAAATAAAGGACAAATTACAAAGTATGAAGAATTTAATCCAAAACTTCCTGTTTGTGTATACGTAAATCCTGGATAGAAGTTGACACTGTTTTATCTATAGGAATAAATACAAGTATAAAAACATAATATTTATGTGTAATGATGAAATAAATATGGGTAATGCTACTGCCGCTAGAGTTTCCAGCTGCTCTAGAGAGTATCATCAGTCTTTACTTTTTTCTTTGGGTAGGTTTCGTTTCTATTCGTAACACAAATTCTTATCTGAATTATGCAATTGTAATAGGATACTGGATTATTATAATTGATGTAGCATCTGATTTTGATAAAGTTTTTGCTGAAGTTACATGAAAACTTGGGTAAATACTTTTAATAAACGGGTATAACAGAAAATTTTTATTATAAGTCATATCCAAAATCAGGTAAAGCAATTTTTATGTCACGAAAAGCAAAAAATTTTAAAATAGAAAAATAGGCAAAGGTTCAATTGTAATCGATGAATTTTCTAAAGACCCTACTTATTACCAATACTAAATTATTGATTCAAATAATGTTTTATTTTATGTACATTGAAACTAATAATATCATATTAGATTCAAATATGGGTTTATTGAGAATTAGTAAAGAACTATGTTAATATGATTTTTAGATAAAAATATATTGGATAATTTTTTTCAATTGTTACATATGAAGTTACATGTCTTATATTGATAAAGCTTTTAATCTTTTGACATGTTATATGCAAAAATGGGTAATGGAGAAAAATTTGGGTAAAGTTTCATTTTATTCGTTATTCGAATAAACATTCAATTCTTATTCAAATAAAAACCATATATTAAGATAATTTGCTAGTAAAAATAAATAAATTGCTATTATTATTATCACTACAAAGGGAAAACATCAACTATCATGATTAATCGACCAAAGAAAGAAAAATAAAGAATGTCAATTGTTTCTGATTGTTTATTGTTATTATCACTACAAAAGGAAAAATAGAAAACTTTTTTGATCGGATTAGAGTGCATATACTATTGGGGTTAGTCACAATGGTTGATCATCACTATGTGCGGATTTTTTAATGTTACACGTATATATCATCAAAACATTATTATTATTATAGTAAATAATCGAAACTTTAAAACGTAAATAGTGTGTTCCTAATCGAAAATCAGATTTTTTACGAATATTCGAAAATCAATTTATTCAAGGATATTTGAATATATATATTTTATTTCTTAATTATTTTGGATACTCGTAATTATTTTGGATACTTGTATTTATTTTAAATTTCAAACATTCGTTATGATAAAATATGAATGATTATCGATTGATAACATATAGTATTAACTTATTTGTAACTTATCTTACTATATAACAAACATTTTTCAAAGATAATAAAGAATTTACAGAAAAATTTTCCTAATACTCAATTGTATAAATCATTTTTAAAATGTCATAATATTCTTACACCTGATAAAAATTGATGATACTTTTTTGATTTGTATGATGATATAATTTATTAACAATTTTTAAATATAGCTTGAAAAGAACAATCAAATTGATGATGTCCAAAAAGAAACTTTATCAATTAAAGAACAAGAAAAATTTAATAATAGTTTGTTAGAATTTATACAAATATCTGAAATAATGAGCATACAAAATAATCACGAGTATCCAAAATAATCACGAGTATCCGAAATAATATTCGAAATTCGTAATTTTGGATTTACGAATATTCGAATATGAAGTTATAATTACGGTTAGGAACCCTAGCTCAAAATTATCAATTTTGTTGATTTTACTATAAACAATGGAAATTTATTTAAACTTTAAAATGTAAAGGCTCAATAACCAAGCAAGCTCTTGAAATACTCCTTCCGCGATTATATTTGCAGATGCTCAATTAAGGGCCTGTCAGAGAGTTTTTTTTATTTATATTAGTAAAAAAATTTTTTGTAAAGGTTCAAAGTTATCAATTTTGTTGATTTTACTATAAACAATGGTAAACTTTAAAACGTAAAGGCACGATAACTAAGCAAGCTATGGAAATAATCCTTCCGCGATTATGTTTGCAGATGCTCAATTAAGGGTCTGTCAGAGAGTTTTTTTCATTTATATTAGTAAAAAATTTTTGTAAAGGTTCAAAGTTAAGAACCCAAAGAGGTAAAATCACGAGTTCTCCGTGTACGTTTTTTTGCTGTTTGTCCTTTAAGTTTTTTTTGTCCTTTTGTATAAATAATAATAATAATTAAATTATATCTGGCCTAAAATGTGACGATAGCAGATGCAAGCACTTATCAAATTTTTATAAATTTTCAAATTTTCTA